AGATAGATAGATAGATAGATAGATAGATAGATAGATAGATAGATAGATAGATAGAATTTAATGTCATTATATTGGAGTACAACGACATTAAACATCAATCCTTACAGTGCTAACCACAATAAAAGCACAATAATAAAAGTCTACACTGATTATTTTCTGCTTGGTGATAAAGTTCGTCTGAAGAAGGAGGAGAAGTCTCGTCAGGATGTAGAGAAGGCCAAGAAGAAGGTGGAGGCGGAGCTTGTGGAACTGCAGGACAACTACGCTGACCTGCAGGCGCAAATAGCTGAGTTAAGAACTCAGTTAGCAGCTAAAGAAGAAGAGCTGCAAGCTACGCTAAACCGGTAAGAAAGACCTTAAACCTAAAACCCCCTAAACCTAACCAGACCCAGACCCTGAAGTTATCAGACCCAGACCCCAAAATCTACCAGACCCAGACCCTGAAGTTATCAGACCCCAAAGCTACCAGACCCAGACCCTGAAATTATCAGACCCAGACCCCAAAATCTACCAGACCCAGACCCTGAAGTTATCAGACCCCGAACCCTAATGCTACCAGACCCAGACACTCGAAGTTACCAGATCCAGACCACTAAAACTACAAGACCCAGACCCTGAAATTACCGGACACAGACCCCTAAAGTTACCAGACCCTGAAGATACCAGACCCCAAAGCTACCAGACTCATACCCCTAAAGCTACCAGACCCAGACCCTTAAAGTTACCAGAACCAGACCCTTAAAACTACTAGACCCAGACCCTTAAAGTTACCAGACACAGACCCCTAAAGTTACCAGACCCTGAAGATACCAGACCCCAAAACTACCAGACTCATACCCCTAAAGCTACCAGACCCAGACCCTCAAAGTTACCAGAACCAGACCCTTAAAACTACTAGACCCAGACCCTTAAAGTTACCAGACCCAGACCCTTAAAACTATCAGGCCCATACCCTTAAAGTTACCAGATCCAGACCACTAAAGCTACCAGACCCAGACTCCTAAAGTTACCAGACCCTAAAGCTACCAGACACCAAAGGTACCAGACTCAGACCCTAAAACTACCAGACCCAGACCCTTAAAGTTACCAGACCCAGACCCTTAAAACTATCAGGCCCATACCCTTAAAGTTACCAGATCCAGACCACTAAAGCTACCAGACCCAGACTCCTAAAGTTACCAGACACTAAAGCTACCAGACACCAAAGGTACCAGACTCAGACCCTAAAACTACCAGACCCAGACCCTTAAAGTTACCAGATCCATACCCCTAAAGCTACCAGACACCAAAGGTACCAGACTCAGACCCTAAAGCTACCAGACTCAGATCCCTAAAGTTACTAATGAATCTGTTTTCTGTTCACAGTTTGGAAGAGGAGAGCGGTCAACGTGCAGCTGTGGTGAAGCGAGTTCGGGAGCTGGAGATGATGCTTTCAGAGCTTCAGGAGGACCTGGAAGCAGAGAAGGTGGCAAGGGCGAAGGCTGAGGCAGCTCGCAGGGACCTGGGGGAGGAACTAAATGCTCTGCGGTCTGAGCTGGAGGACAGTCTGGATGTGACGGCGGCCCAGCAGGAGTTACGGTCTGTGAGAGCTGATAAAACATCAATAATCCTCTGCTGATCCACGAGTTTGTAGAAGTCCTGATCTCTACAGCTTCCCAGAATGTTTAACCTGAGATCAAGTGTTCAAAACAGTCTTTCAGAACATACGGGTGTCATCTGCATAAAAGCTGACATTGATGCAGTTGTGTTCTTGTTTCAGAGCGAAGCGGGAACAGGAAGTAGCCATGCTGAAGAAGACTATGGAGGAGGAAGGCCGGAACCATGAGGCCCAAATCCAGGACCTCAGACAGAAACACAACCAGGCTGTGGAGGAGCTCACTGAGCAGCTGGACCAAGCCAAGAGGGTTGGTCCCCACCCACACACACACACACACACACACACACACATACACACATACACACACACAAAACAAATGATACACTCCTCATTTTCACTTTTAATCTGAAAACCTTTCTCTGTTTCTGAGCAGGTGAGGTCCACTCTGGAGAAATCCAAACACGCCCTGGAGAAAGAGACGGCAAGTCTGAGTTCTGAGCTTCGGTTGCTCACCGGCTCCAAACAGGAAGTGGAGCACAAGAAGAAGAAGATGGAGGCTCAGCTGAACGACTTAAACTCACGCTTCAATGAGAGTGAACGGCAGCGAAATGAGCTGGAAGAGCGGGTCTCCAAGACCACTGTGAGCAGGAAGAATGAGACCTGCTGAGGACCTAAAGATCTGGAACCATTTCTCTAAATGTCCAAATGTCTTTGTCTCTTCCAGATGGAGCTGGACAATGTGACGGCTTTACTGAATGAGGCTGAAGGAAAGAACATCAAGCTGAGTAAAGATGTCTCCAGTCTGTCCTCTCAGCTTCAGGACACACAGGTGAAGGACACGTCTCAGTCTGATCATTTGGACTCTTCACRTTCTTACAATCAGCTGATGTCCTTGTCCTCCAGGAGCTGCTGTCTGAGGAAACCCACCAGAAGCTGAGCCTGTCTGGACRTTTGAGGCAGATGGAGGAGGACAGGAACAGCCTATTGGAGCAGCTGGAGGAGGAGACAGAGGTCAAACGGTCCATGGAGAAGCAGGTGTCCAGTCTCAACATGCAGGTCAGTCCTGATGTCTGAAGATCGGCAGCTGGAACTGGTCCAGGGTCAGATACTCAAAACCAGTTTCTGTCCTTTTATCYTTGAAATGAAGTGTCAAACACAGGACGTTGTTGGACAGATGATCAGTCAGACTGAAAACTAATCTAAAACCAGTTTGTGTAAAGACCTCTGAGACATCCTGTGAGGTGGTCCTCAGGATCTGCTTCAGGTCCACTTTACAAATGAGTTTATGACCTGAAGACTGGAAGACATGTTGGCATCTTACCGTTCACTCCCTGTTCACTCTGTTCACTCCCTGTTCACTCCCTGTTCACTCCCTGTTCACTCCCTGTTCACTCCATGTTCACTCCATGTTCACTCCATGTTCACTCCATGTTCACTCCCTGTTCATTCCCTTTTCACTCCCTGTTCACTCCCTGTTCACTCCATGTTCACTCCCTGTTCACTCCCTGTTCACTCCCTGTTCACTCCATGTTCATTCCCTTTTCACTCCCTGTTCACTCCCTGTTCACTCCCTGTTTACTCTCTCACTCCCTGTTCACTCCCTGTTCACTCCCTGTTTACTCTCTCACTCCCTGTTTACTCTCTCACTCCCTGTTCACTCTGTTCACTCCCTGTTCACTCCATTCACTCCCTGTTCACTCCCTGTTCACTCCTTGTTCACTCCCTGTTCACTCCGTTCACTCCCTGTTCACTCCCTCACTCCCTGTTCACTCCCTGTTCACTCCTTGTTCACTCCATGTTCACTCCCTGTTCACTCCATGTTCATTCCCTTTTCACTCCATGTTCACTCCCTGTTCACTCCCTGTTCACTCCCTGTTCACTCCCTGTTTACTCTCTCACTCCCTGTTCACTCTGTTCACTCCCTGTTCACTCCATTCACTCCCTGTTCACTCCTTGTTCACTCCCTGTTCACTCCGTTCACTCCCTGTTCACTCCGTTCACTCCCTGTTCACTCCCACACTCCCTGTTCACTCCTTGTTCACTCCCTGTTCACTCCGTTCACTCCGTTCACTCCCTGTTCACTCCGACTCCTGGGAAGTTACAACTTAGACCTCAGTGTTTGTTACAGGTGGAAACTTCATGTTGTTCCATCTCTTGTTCCTCCTGTTGTTCAACCTGTTGTTCCACCTGTTGTTCCACCTTGTTCCTCCTATTGTTCCACCTGTTGTTCAACCTGTTGTTCCACCTGTTGTTCTTCTGTCTGCAGCTGTGTGAGCAGAAGAAGAAGCTGGACGATGTGTCGGTGACAGTGGAGATGCTGGAGGAGGGGAGAAGGCGTCTGCAACGTGAGCTGGAAGCAGCTGTCGGCGAGTTGGAGGAGAAGTCTTCAGCTTATGATAAGCTGGAGAAGAGCCGAGGGCGTCTGCAGCAGGAGCTGGAGGACATCCTGGTGGACCTGGACACCCAGAGACAGCTGGTGTCCAACCTTGAGAAGAAGCAGAAGAAGTTTGATCGGGTGAATACAGGCTGGCTTTAGAAGAAACATTTAATAAATCAGTTTAGGATTTTAGAAGCTTCTGTCAGCACCTCAGGTTGGTTCTTCTGACCAGTTAGACATTAACTCAGACCAGGTTCATTGTCTGGTTTTCATCCCCTTACATGATGAAGCAGTTCCTCTGCTGATGTTCTTCACATCAGTTTGTATCTCCTGTTTTCCAGATGCTGGCAGAAGAGCGAGCCGTGTCCTCTAAGTTCACAGAGGAGCGAGATCGAGCAGAGGCGGAGGTGAGGGAGAAGGAGACAAAGATTTTATCTCTGAGCAGAGCTCTAGAGGAGAGGCAGGAGGTCCTGGAGGAGGCAGAGAAGACCATGAAGGCCCTTCGAGCTGAGATGGAGGATCTCATCAGCTCCAAAGATGACGTGGGGAAGAACGTAAGAAGCTTTCTGTCAGAGCAGGATCTGGAGACAGGTGGAGCTGATGGAGCTGATCTCTGATGTTTCTTCAGGTTCATGACCTGGAGAAGGCCAAGCGGGGCCTGGAGGCCATGGTGGAGGAGATGAGGACGCAGATGGAGGAGCTGGAGGACGAGCTGCAGGTCGCAGAGGATKCCAAGCTGCGTCTGGARGTCAACARTCAGGCTCTGAAGGCTCAGCATGAGCGGGAGCTGCAGGCCCGCGAGGAGCTGGGAGAGGAGAAGAAGAAGCAGCTCCTCAGACAGGTGCAGYTCTGATGATGTCATCATTATTCTGCTCCGACCAGAACTGCAGAACTGCTTCTGTAGTGAATCTTCCAGCCAACTGTCAGTTTGTCTCTTCTGTTCCTCATCAGGTGCGTGAGCTGGAGGCRGAGCTTGAGGAGGAGAGGAAGCAGCGAGCTCAGGTGTCTGCCTCCAAGAAGAAGCTGGAAGGAGAGCTGAAGGACTCAGAGGAGCAGCTGGAGGCTTCCAGCAGGGGCCGAGAGGAGGCGCTAAAGCAGCTCCGCAAAGTCCAGGTCAGCACACRTCCTTGTTCTTCCATCAAACTGAGGCCGTTATTTTCACTTACATTCATTTTTAACTATCATTAACTAGTATTAACTATTAACAACTAACATTAACTATCATTAACTAGTATTAACTATTAACAACTAACATTAACTATTAATAACTAACATTAACTATTATTAACTAACATTAACCATTAACAACTAACATTAACCATTAACAACTAACATTAACTATTATTAACTAACATTAACTATTATTAACTAACATTAACCATTAACAACTAACATTAACCATTAACAACTAACATTAACTATTATTAACTAACATTAACTATCATTAACAACTAACATTAACCATTAACAACTAACATTAACCATTAACAACTAACATTAACTATCATTAACAACTAACATTAACCATTAACAACTAACATTAACCATTAACAACTAACATTAACTATCATTAACTAGTATTAACTATTAACAACTAACATTAACTATTAACAACTAACATTAACCATTAACAACTAACGTTAACCATTAACAACTAAC